AAATCCTTAGATATGGGTGTGTGTGCGAGATGGGGGTGTAAAACCCCAAATGGGTATCAATTAATTGGTTCTAAAATTAATTTTAGGACATTGATATATTATTGTCTTGAAGTTTTATTCTAAAAAACAGTGGTTGCAAACATTGGTTGCGCTATGTAACACTGTTTTGACTTGAAAAAATAAAATGGAGTTGGGTAAAACTCAATAGTGAGGACTTGTAGAAATTACACTATGGGTTTGAGCCATGAATGAGATTATTCGAGTATTTTCTCATTTAATGATATGATCTAGGAATAGTACATCTACTCAAGCATTGTTTGATGTTTTATTAGTAAGGGTCTTGGAGTTCGAGAGAATATAGAATGTAGCCTAGACCAAACACTATCTATGTGTCAATCGATTTGGTTACAATTAGTCTTTGCCTATTTGAGTTGACACCCCAATCATAAAGCATACACCTCTAATCTTTTCCAAATTTGATACATCATATTTGTGTTGGTTTGATGTTTTGTTACTTGATATTCGTGAATGTTTTTTGTTTTTCTAACCCCCCCCCCCCCCCATTATATAAACATGATTGTTGAGAATGCATTGTGATAGTTTACTTTGGATTATGTAATCAATTGAGAGTGATCCCATCTTCCAAATTTTGTGGTTCGACCCCGACTTCTAAAGTTCAGAGTTGTTTTGCAAACAACCGCTTATGCTCTAAAAAATGAGACATAATTCAGTGTTTATTGGCCCACCTTTTAAAAATATCATGTATTTGTGCTATAACCTTCAATATAGTAGCAAGTCAAGTCAAGGATTAGCTTGGGACCATCAATGGTTCTGAATGTCGGTCACTTCCAAATTGTAGGCTCGGAGCGTGACAAACTATTGTGATGTCAAAAACATGTACATGCTTTAAGTTAAGTGATCTTGACTCATATCACAAGGTCTTTTGGATATTTTGATTGTATCTTCTTTACTTTTGTTTTTATTTAGACATTAGATATTAGGTGCCCGTGCCAACACGGGCCCAATATATGTCACTTTTTAATCTTAATTTGTTTGATACAGATGAAATTTGGAGAGTCAAATATTTTTATACGTTTTTTTCTAAAATATTTTAAGTTTTTAATGTATTATGATTTATAAAAAGTTTTTATCTTATTTTCGAATAATATATGCTACTCTTTTTGTTCCAATTTTTGTGACACATATGGAATTAGGAGAGTCCCCCAAAATTTTCTTATATGTTCTTTTAAGTATTTTCTCAATAATATATATTTTCCATCTATTCAAATTCATGTGTCACGATAGAATTTTAAAAGTCAACTAAATTTTTTCTATTTTAAAAAAAATTACTTAGAAATTGTTAATTATTGTGATTTAGTATTTTTGACGTCATTTTAAATATATAATAGAGTATTTTAAGTTGTTAGTTATTGTGATTTATAGAATTTCAAACATATGACGTCTGTTTAAGAATAGTGTGTTTGTAGCTTCTTATTAGATAGTAAAAATATTTTAAGTTGTTAATTATTGTAATTTATAGGGTATGTTACGTAATTTTCAAATTTGTAATAAAATGTTGTAAGTTGTCGATTATAATAATTTATAGTATCTTAAACGTAATCTTTGAATATGCTATAAAGTAAAAAACAAAGTACAATAAATAAATTAAAATAGAAGGGACACTAATAAAATTTGAACAAATTTAAGTACGTAACATTTTGTAATATACTTTATAAAATACAATATTATAAATAGAGTAATTAAAGAGAGTGAAACAAAAGGAATTTAAGAGACTTGGAATAAATGCAAAGCAAAATTGAAAAGGCGTGAAATAGGGGGGAATAAATGGGCCCACATGCATGGAAAATCAAAGAAATTTCTGACTGGGGCAAAGTAAAAAACAAAAAAAGGATTAATTCCTTGAGTGGATCCCTTTTAAAAAATATTTACTTATTTTAAATATATTTTTAATTATTACCATTTATAACAATATATAACAATATAATATATTTTTTTAGATTTGTCTTTCACTTTTGCCTTTTTCTCTTTTTTCTCTCTCACCTTTTTAATTTTTATCTCTCTTTCTCGCTCTTTCTTCCTTTTTTCTTTATGTTGTTCTTTCTCCCTTATTTTCATCCTGCTGCTTTTTCTCTCTTGCTTTCTTTCTATTTATTTTTCTTTCTTGCTTTATTTTTGTTGCTCTTTCTCCCTCTCTTTCTCTTGCTTTTTTTCCCGTTATCTCTCTCTACTTTCTTTCGTAGTGTAGTCAATAATTCGTAGATTAAATAAAATTTGTAAAAATAATTAATTAATTAGATAAGTAATTTAATCGTAACAAATGAAGAGACATAATAAATTGCAAAATGAATTAAACTTGAATTAAAAATGTATTCCACACATATAAAATTGAATTAGAAGAGAATTAAATATGAATGCAAAATGTAGCAAACGAAAGAGCATTCTATGATTTGTAAACTGAATGAATTTGTACCAAAAATGAATTTCACAAGTAATTCAACATAACAAATCAACCAATAAATTGCAAAATCAATTAAAATTATATTTAAAAGTGTATTACACAAATATTAAACAAGTAAGTAAATTAATTTTTTTTGAAATTGTATTACACAATATTAAAGTTGAATTAGAAGAGAGAATTAAGAATGAATGAAAAATGTAACTAACGAAAGACAAGACAACGATCTATAAACTGAATTAAACTTATATGGGAAAAAAGTCTGAAATATATTCGAACTTTGACCAAAATTGTTGTAACAATACTGAACTTTGGAAAGGACCTCTTACCCCCTGCACTATTTAATAGTATATTTTAAAGGTATATATGTATCCACGTGGACATCATAAATATTGCATCATTATAAAGGATACGTGTTGGACCCAATTTTTACAAAGAAGTTGTGTTGGATTTCTTGGGGACATGGATGTCTAATACTTTTGTGTAAGATGAAAAGGTACCTATATGAAGCTTTTAAGTACAATAGCTATAAAACACAAATATAACAGAATACCAAAAAATGCCCTTAAAGTAAAGCAAGCATGTTGACGGGAAGTTGTATGCTTATTCTCATTATTATACACTAATTAAATTAAAGCAAGAAATAATTTTTAATTTTTAATTTTTATTTCCGAAACATGACGTGCCTATTTTAGCATTAAGTCTTGAATTTAAAACTAAAAGTCATAGCTAAAACGGACTCCATAATTTCAAAAAAATTATACAGTAATTAAATTAAAGTAAAACAAAAGAAATAAATTTTTAAATTAGAGTAAAACAAAAGAAATAAATAATTTTCGATTTTTTTTCCAAAACACACTGAAGCAGGCACGTCAATTTTAAAAGTTTTAGCTTTAAAGGATTTCATAATTTCAAATAAATTATACACTAATTAAATTAAAGTAGAACAAATGAAATAATTTTTTAATTTTTTTTTCAGAAGACGCTGAAGCAGGCACGTCGACGGAGAGGTGTCTACTTCAGCACTAACTGTCATAAGACGCTGAAGCAAGCACGTCAACGGAGAGGTGCCTGCTTCAACACTAGTTGTCTCTTATATAATAAGAGGACTCTTATATATAGAACTAGATACATGGCCCCGTGCTGGAATATGTTATTTTTTTTATTTTAATTTATGTGGTACTCCGTTTGTTCCATATTAATTGATTACTTTTCATTTTGCACGGTATTGAAGAAATTATAAGTAAGAAAATAACTTTACTAATTCAACCCTTAAAAAACTTTGTGAGAATTTTGCAAACAAATGTGACACTTTCAAAAGGAATTAATGGCAAGGGTAATATAGGAAAATTTTATATAATGTTTTGTTGATTTAGTAAGGTGATCAACTAATATGAGACAACTATTTTTAGAATAATAGTCAATTAATATGGGACGGAGGGAGTATCATAGAGCTTGAAAAGTTAGCCAAATTTTTATATGATTTTAAAAAGATTTTAAGTTGTTAGTACTTTTTATATAATTTTAGAAATAAAATGTATTACTCTCTTTGTTTCAATTTATGTGGTATATATAGAATTTCAAAATTAACCATTTTTATATGTCTATTAAATATACTAAATTATTAAATATTGTAATTTATAGTATCTTTTTAACGTAATTTTCAAATCATATATGTTACTTCTCCTGTTTCAATTTATGTAGTACTGATAGAATTTTTTAGAGTCAAGTGATTTTTTATATGTATTTTATATTTTAAATTATTAATTATTGTGATTTATAAATTGGTACCAATTGAATTTCGAGAGCCAATTAATTTTTTTTTGTATAACTTTTAAATATTTAAGTTGTTAATTATTGTGATTTATAGTGTTATTTATATTTATACAATTTTCAGATATGTAACAAACTTAAAAAAAGACGTAATTTTTCAATATTTGATAAACAAATAAAGTCATTAATATTTTAAGAAATGATTTTGCCATAAAAAATAAAATGAAAGAAGTTATGAGGTAGAAATAAAGAGAAGGAAATAAAGTTGCTATTCAAAATATGAAGTGGAACCTATATTATATGCATTAATAGATAGAGGGAAAGTGGAGAAAAGAATTGCCCACATGCATGGAAATTAGGCAAATTTTGCGGCTGAGAAGCAAAATGCGGTATTCATGTGGAAGAACTAGGCTAACTTTTACGTGCCAAATTTAAAAAGTACAATTACAAAATAGCTAAGTACAATATTATTTAAGCATTAACATTAGAAAAGTATTAAGAATTAATCATATTACCCTTAGCTACGGAAGCAAGCATGTGACGAAGAGCTGCTTCCCTGGCCTCTTATATTTAGTAGTAAAGTAATAGTAATTCTCTGTAATTTATCATTGTTTACTATGTCATGCCCATACCCAAAGAAGACAATTTCTATCCGTGTACAAACAATAAATGATGATAAGATACATGTGGAAGCAAACGTAGGTTAGTTTTTTTATATATGCAGAAAGAAAAGAAATGATAAAATGATTAAGATTGAAGAGAAGGATGGCTTGTGTAAGCAGTGGCATGTGGGGAATGGGCATCATGAGTAATGCTAATTCGAATAGGTATAATAATAAATTTAGCAACAACCCAAGTTTAGTACTAAGTAGTAGCAAGGGTAAAAGAAGGATAGTAGCATCAGGTGAAAAGGAATCAAGCAGCATGGCCACTGAGATTGCCGGAGTGAAGGTCATTAACAACCCTCCCCAATCTAAACTCACGGACCTCGGCGTCACCTCTTGGCCCAAGTAATCTCTCTTTTCTCTCTCTCTCTCTCTCTCTCTCTCTCTCTCTTTTCTATTCAACTCTAAACCCTAACATTAAAAAAATTCATCAAAAATGGTTTTATTCTACATATATTAGTATAACCGTGGTATAAACAATGAAAGATCCACCAGACTGCCTGTTGAGCTCAATGTGAAACTGCACTGTTATTATCTTTATCTTTTAGTTAGAAATAAAGTAAAGATGAACTTTCTTTTAGTTAGCGATGATGTTTCATTTATTACTTACATATAATTTTATCTTTTGGGTCTCAAGTTAGAATTTGCCTTCTAGGTGGAGCTCGTCGTACCAGGCTTGCCTAGTGTGGGTTACCTCTCCTGTGTGGTTTGCGAGTTATTGAATAGGAGCAGAGTTTTACCCTATGCGCACCCAAAGGGCAGCAGCTGCGGGTTTCTCTTGTCATCAATTTTTTTTATCTTTTGGTTAGATTTAATGGCTTTATCTGCCATTATGTGTTTCTGGTAAACTGTTAAGTCTTACCATTAACAACCAAAATGAATACACCTAATGAGCACCTAGGAACACAACCACCTTCTCGAACGGGTGTCGTGCTCTCTAGACATCTAAGAACAGAAAACTAGTTAAATAGTCTGAAAATCAAAGTACGAAACCTACGAGCTCTCTTGGTGGCTTGTATACACTCTAATCTTAGTCTAATCTACTTTTGTATCTGTGCAATGACAAAATTTGTATTTAGGGTAGGACTGCACGAAGATGATCCAATTCCTGGCTTGCTATGTGTAGTAGAGCATTGCACTCCACACAGCAAACACAAGATCCTTCTGAAACAGTCTCCAATGTCTACTCCTTATCCATTGTATGGTCTGTTGGACCCCTCTGATGTTTCTGAGCCTAGCCAGTTAGAGAGGTCATTCCTAACAGCTATAATCCAGTCACAGTCTCCAAATAAATGAGCTTGAGAGTCCACTCTACCTTGATTACATAAGTCACAAGTAACAGTACCAACTGTAATATGCAGTTTGTTAAGTCTCTCCTTTATTAGTAATCTGCCCTGATTTATTAACCAAATAAAGAACCTGTGCTTTGGCTGAAATATATTAGACCAGATTAAGTTGGCCTCTAGAAATCTAGCCTGAGTCTCTGTCAATGCATTGTAGCTTCTAGTAACTGATTATGCACCATTTGCAGTAACCAGATATTGGTTATTATGATACCCACTGAACCATGGTTGCTTTGAGAGAGTTTAACTTCTTCCAATACCAACTACAGTCAGCTGGTGACATGTAGTTCCAGATATTTCTCGAAGTTTTCATACATACACCATGCACCTACTTAACCCATAGTGTATCTTCCTTCCTTGCCAACATCCAAATCAATTTCCCAATTGAGGTTACATTCTAGTTCCTGCAGATCTTTATGTTTAGGCCACCAAACTTTTTAGGAATACACACCTTATCCCATGCAACCAAGACCATTTTTCTTTGTTCTTCTGAACTACCCCAAAGGTAGTCTATACACTGTTTATCTACTGCTTTCAGGCTGCTATGAGGCAATATAAACATAGATCCCTAAAAGTTGTCAATAAAGAATAAAACAGCACTGATCACCTGCATATGATAGACACTTTGAACAGGAAGTAGTGATCCTATGTGTGATCTTCCCAACTGGTTGATGACACTCCATTTTACTCCACTTTTTTATTTTAATGAGAACCCAATGCTAGACAGGATCCCTGCTTGAGTGGTGTCATCATCTATACCTTCCAAGAAGATTTTAGACTTGTCTACATCGTCTACCAGACCAGTGGCATCACTGAAATGGTTTATAGCCTTCATCACTCTTGCAATGGAACTGCAATCTCCTCTACAAAATATCATTAGATTATTTGCAGAAATAAGATGAGTTAGTTTAAGAAATTTGCACATGGGGTGAAACCTGAAGTCTAAAAATTCAGTCATCTTCTTGAGTGTCCTGGCTAGATATTTCATTACTAATACAAACAGTAATGGTGAGATTGGGTTCCCCTGCCCTAGGCCCCTTCTCCATTCAAAATATCCATAGCCTTCCCTATTTACTTTTATTGTAAGCTTAGTAGTAGTAATGCATGTCATCACCAATTGAATGAAAGATGTTGGAAATCCATATACATTTAAAGCTTCCTCAAGAAACTCCCAGTTCAGCATATCATAAGCCTTCCTCAAGTCAATCTTCATCAAACATCTAGGTGATGTTTTCCTATTATAGTGCCTAAGTAGATCATGACAAATCAAGATGCCATGGACTAAAGACCTGCCCGCTACAAATCCAGCCTGATTTTCAGCCACTAAATGTGATATTGGCTTCCCGAGTCTAACACAGATCACCTTAGACATGGGCTTATAAAGCACATTACAACATGAAATAGGCCTGAATTGGCTAGCGTATTGATGATTTGGCACCTTTAGAATCAATGAAATTATAGTAAAGTTTATCTGTTTTAGTTGCTCCCTATTACTCAGCAACTGAAGCACTGCAGTGACCACATCATCCCTCACAATATTCCAAGTTTTCTTTATAAAGTGCCAAATCCATCTGGCACAGGGCTTTTACTGCTGTCAATTCCAAATATTGCCACGTTCATGTGTTTGCTGGTGTATGGATTGAGTAAGTGCATCTGATGTTCTACTGAGAGTACAGGGCTCAACTCTAATAAGCTTTAGTTCTATGTAGTCTTTTCCTTCCCAACAAGTCTTTATAGAAATTTACAAACACATCAACAATACTGCAGTTTCTAAGTGCATAACATCCTGTGCATCCTTCAGTTGTGTTATGGCTTGCTGCAACTTCCTATGTTCTATTACTGAGAAGAAGCTTCTGGAGTTATCTCCCAGTTTCACCCACTTTGCTTTACTCCTCTCCTGTAGAAAGTTTTCTGCTAGGTCAGGGGGTTCTCCTGAACTTCTGATATTACACCTTCTCCTATTGTTGCAATAGCCGATCAGTTGGATTCAAGTGTAAAGCTTTCTGTGTTTGTTCGAGAGCAAACCTATCAGTCGCCACCTCTACTAGTATGTCCCTGAAATGCTGTTGATTAAGTTATCTCAAACTTTTCTTGAGTAGCTTCAGTTTCTTAACAATTTGCAACATTGTACATCCATCAATTGGAGTCTGCAAGACAACCTCCACTTTCTCCATACAACTAGGATGACTGGCCCAAATATTAAAGTACTTATAAGATCTACTTGATCTAGCAATAACATGAAGTGATTCTATCTTGACTGGAGTCACTGGATTATGATATCTTATTCCCTCAGGTAAGAAGTTAGCTATATAGTCAGGTATCTGTGTCAACCAATCATTTTTGATGAACACCCAATCAATCTTGCCAAATCCTTCCAGTATAATGGTGCTTCAAGTTAGTAACATATTGTCAGCCAGGAAATAAAGTAATAAACTACTAGCTGACCTTTCAATCCTGTTAGTGTCTTCTTATTTTTATTTTTTGCTAAACCAACCAACCCTACTGCTTCTCTATTGCAAAGGAGTTGGACCTCCTTTTTCTTATTAGGTCCATTGAGGCCCCTTACATTCCAAAAAAGTATGTTATCCATTCCCAGAGAGAGGTGTTGGTTGTCCTCCCTCTTTCCTGACTAGTGTTATCAAAAGCAAAAAGCGCAAAAAAGCTCTAAGTTCTGATGGGGCTTTAAGCGCAAAGAACAAATAAAACATGGCTTTAATGAAAAAAGGCGCAAGGGGAGAAAAACTACAAATATATATGTTTAGTCCAAGTCTAATAATTTATAAGCATGAATGACAAACATACAAAACAAAGGAATTGAAAAATAATTACGATTGAGTGAAATATCAATTGTTTAGTGTCGTCTCTTTTGAAGTTCATTGGCAAAGAGAAGTATGCCTTAGAACCTTGATAACGACACTAAAGTGCACATTAAGCAAGGCGAAGCTCTCAACGTGTTTTGAGCTTCGCTTCAGGGCTTAGGGGGTGTTTGGATAAGCTATTTTTAAGTGGTGACTTAAAAGTCAAAAGCCAAAAGTAAGTAGCTACCTACTTTTGACTTTTGGCTTTTTTTTTTGGACTTTTTAAGCCTAAAGTAAGTGCTTTTAAGTACTTTGTGTCTTTGCCAAACACCTCTAAAAATTAAAAAATGCTTAAAAGCAAAAAACACCTAAAATAAGTCAATCCAAACACCCTCTTAAGCACGCCTTTGATAACACAGTTTCTTACCTTACTAGCTTTTGCTGAAGCTAAGCCCTGGTTTATCCAATCCTTGAAAAGGATTTGGAGAAAATACTGGGAGCAGTTGTACTCTAGCCTGTTGCTTGTTGGTAGGCAAAGGAGTTACCCATCCTCCTCCTGCCTTCCAGAATGCTGGTGAGTACCTCCGTCTTGCCTGTACCCTCCTTATTCCCCACTGTTTTTAGTCTCTCCTGGTTCATCTCCACAGAATTATCCTTGGTCATCTCTGTAACCTGTGCAGGTGACACCACAACTAGTTGTTTTGTGATTAGCTCAGATTGTGGCTTGTTCTTCTTCTTACATTTCTCTACAGTGTGTCCATAATTTTTGCAAAACTTACATAAAGTAGGTCTCCAATCATACTGGACTTTCTGCTTTATCAGATTGCCTATTTTATTCTTAAAGACTATCTTCGCAGGTAAGGGCAGTGTATGTCCACCTCTATGAGCATCCTTGCAAAGTTCAATCCCATCTTTTGCTCAGTATTCTGGTCCACCATTAGAGGTTTCCCAATTAGGCTTCCTATCTTACTAAGACCTTTAGGACTCCAATACGTGAAACCCAGCCCAGGTAGCTTCATTCATATGGGAATTGTTAAGAAGTCCCACATCGGTAGATGGATGAGACATTGGTCTCCTTATATGGACTTGGACAAACCTCCCTTTATGAGCTAGTTTTTGAGGTTGAGTTAGGTCCAGATGTCATAACTTCACATGGTATCAGTGCCATGCTCATCTTGTTTTTCACTGATGTTGGACCCCAGTC